TTTTTTTAACATTTTCTAATGGTGGTGTGCCTCGTGATTTTTTTCATGAAAAAAGTGTGCCTTTGCACAAAAAAGGTTGAAAAACACTGGCCTAGCTGACATTTATTTTCAAAAAATTTTTCCCCTTCCTGCCTCCGTTGTTAAGGGAGTTGCTATTGTTTAAGTTAGTCACATGGTTGTTAAGTGAATCTGGCCTCCCCATTGGCTTTGCTTGCCAGAAGGTCACAAAAGGGGATCACGTGAGCCCGGGATGCAGCAACAGTCATAAGTACATGCCAGTTGCCAAGCGTCTTAATTTTGATCACATGACTGTGGGGATGCTGCAATGGTTGTAACTGAAAAATGGTCGTAAGTCACTTTTTTCAGTACTGTTGTAACCTTCAACGGTCACTAAATGAACTATAGTAAGTCAAGGTAGTCCTCGACCTACCACAGCTTGTTTTGACCGCAGACAGCTACCCTAGTCTAGTGCCCTGCTAAGCCGTAAATCATCATTTAGACATGACAGTGGCTACATTCATATGTTGCTAACCCAACACCAAGCTATCTGGTGATTTCTCGACTTACAAACATTTATTTAGTTACCATGTCACTGAAAAAAAAGCCATTTTTCACACATGACCATTGTTTTGTTTTTGTTTTTGCTTCCCTATGGTCACGTGATCAAAATTCGGTTGCTTGGAAACTAACTCACACTTATGACATTTGTAATGTCCCGAGATCATGTGATCCCCTTTTGCGACCTCGTGACAAACAAAGCAAGTGGAGGGAGCCAGATTCACCGAACAACTGTGTTCCTCAACCCAGGGATTCACTTAACTGTGAGAAGAGAGTTGTAAAATAGGAGCAAAGTTCACTTAACCAACTGTCTCGGTTAGCAACGGAAATTCCAGGCTCAATTGGGGTCGTGAGTCGAGGACCACCTGCATACGGACTCAATCTCTGTTTCCAGGAAAAGCAAAATGGCATTATTGTCAGGGGTGCAAGCGGAAACTCTCACGTCCCAGTCGCCTGAATGGTTAATGTGTTTTCCCTTCCAGGAACTGGGAGCTGTTTCTCTGGACGGATATTTCCACCTCTGGAAAGCAGAACACATGCTGTCCAAGGTAACTCCCTTCCCTCCTGCACACAGAGGTTAATAGAACAGAACAGAACGGTTTAGTTGGAAGGGACCTTGGAGATCTTCTAGTCCAACCCCCTGCTCAGGCAGGAAACCCTATACCACTCATGGCTAACCTTTGCGTCACTGAGTGGCAAAACTGGAGCATGTGCGCACAAGCCAGAGCACCGGAACTTGGAAGAGCAGCTGGCTGGCACAGACATGCAGGACGGACCAGCTGGCCGGCACACATGCACACAATGGAACATGGAAGAGCAGCTGGCTACCGCACACGTGCCCACAGAGAGGGCCCTGTGTGGCACCTCTGGCATATGTGCCATAGGTTCACCATCATGGCCCTATACCCGTGATGGCGAACCTTAAAGCACGCGTGCCACAGGTGGCACATGGAGCCATTTGTCTGGGCACGCTGGCCAGCTGACTTTGGCCTTCTTTGGAGGCCATTTTTTGCCCTTCAGGAGCTTCCCTGAAGCCTCCAGAGCGCGAAAAACCGGCCCCATTGGCAAACCGGAAGTTCAGGAATGTACTTCTGGTTTGCTCGTAGGGCCGGTTTTAGCCCTCCAGAGCCTTCAGGAGGCTTCCCTGAAGACTCCGGAGCGCAAAAAAACGACCCTACAGACAAACCGGAAATCCGTTCCTGAACGTCCGGTTTTCCAATAGGGCTGATTTTTTGCACTCTGCAGGCTTTAGGGAAGCTCCTGAAGCCCCTGGAAGGTCTCTGGGGGGTGGGGGGGAGGCTGTTTTTGCCCCCCACAGGCTCCTATAAAGCCTCTGAAGCCTGGGGAGGTGAAAAAAGCACACCAAAAATTGGGGTGGGGAGGGGAGCGCTGGTCATGCGCACATGCACGCTGGGGTGCGCATAGCCCACGCACGATGCCCATGTGCTCCCCCCACTCTTGGCACGCAAGCCACAAAAGGTTCGCCATCACTGCCCTATACTATAATCAGATAAGTGACTGTCCAGTCTCTTCTTAAAAACCTCCAGTGTTGGAGCCCCCACAACTTCTGGAGGCAAGCTGTTCCACTGGTTAATTGTCCTCACTGTCAGGAAGTTTCTCCTTAGTTCTAGGTTGCTTCTCTCCTTCATTAGTTTCCATCTGTTGTTGCTTGGCCTACCCTCAGGTACTTTGGAGAACAGCTTGATTCTCCCTCCCTTCTTTGTGGCATTCCCTGAGGTATTGGAACAAGTGCAATCTGCTTATGCAAACATCTGTGTGACGCCCAAATCCATCAGCGGGCAAAGAAAGATTTTCAGCTGGGAATAATGCAAAACCAAGGCTACTTAAATGAGTTTCCTAAGAGATAGCCATGGGAGGACAAAGCTTGGGAGAAAGGCCAAATCCTGTTTGCACAGCTGACCAAAAAGCCTACAGGCCACTTCCAAAGCATATTGGTTTCATGGAATTATCATAAAATGCAGTGCAATGCCATGCGTTGTAATGCAATGCAATAATATAACACAGAGATGGTCCTTATCTTGAGGATAGGATAGGAATAGGAATAGAGCTGGAAGGAACCTTGGAGGTCTTCCAGTCCAGCCCCCTGCTCAAGCAGGAGAACCTCCATCATTCCTGACAGATGATCAACCCTGGCACATTGCTCCAAATCCATCAGGCACTTCCCCATTGGTCCACTGGAGGGCGAAAGTCACGGCTGGCTTTCCAGAGAAAGCTGTGAAGGAACTGACATCACAATTGCCGCTCTAGGGCGCCACACTCACTCTCTTTAACAAGCCAGACGTTCCAGAGTTATGCTGAAACACACACAGACAGACAGACAGACACACAGACACACCAGGGGTGTCTTACCCTCCCAGTATTTGTTTCCAGAGGGTAAGTCATCTGTGTACCAAGTTTGGTTGAAAATTGTTTGGAGCGCTCCAGAGTTATGCTGAAAGATGTATACATACATACAGCTTTTTATATAGATAACAAGACTTGGAAGGTACCTCGGAGGTCTTCTAGTCCAACTCTCTGATCAAGCAGGAGAGCCCTATACCCTTTCAGACCAGTGGTTGTCCAGTCTCTTCTTAAAAGCCTTCAGTGATGAAGCTCCCACAACTTCTGAAGGCAACTTTTGTTCCACTGGTTAATTGTCCTCATTGCTAGGAAGTTTCTTTTTAGCTCTAAGCTGGTTCTCCCTTTTATCAGTTTTCTTCTGTTGTTTCTTGTTCTGCCTTCTGGTGCTTCGGACCCCCTCTCCTTCCATCCATTCCTGGAAAGTCCTTTTGTCTTCTCAAGGCAACATTGTTGGCAAAGGAACTTTACCTGAAACCTTATTTATTAAGGGCTTTTTAAAAAAAAAAAACTATTCCCTCCAGTTGAATTCATCTTTTCATGGGGACGTCTTAATAAAGCAGCAGAACAACAGAGTTGGAAGGGACCTTGGAGGTCTTCTAGTCCAACCCCCTGTTCAAGCAGAAGACCCTATACCATTCCGGGAAAATGGTTGTCCATTCTCTTCTTATGAAATTCCAGTGATGGAGCACTTCTGGTGGCAAGTTGTTCCACTGTTTCCTTGTACTCACTGTTAGGAAATTTCTCCTTAATTCCAAATTGCTTCTCTCCTTGATTAGTTTCCATCCGTCGCTTCTTGTCCTGCCCTCAGATGGATAAGAAGGATCTTCCGTTGGATCAATGAATGCAGCGGGTTAAAAATAAAACTAGATCTTCCTGGTTTGGGTGTAAGGGAGAACTTTGGCTTTGCGCTGGGTTGCGCTGACCTTTAGATGCATTTTGGGGAGAGAGGGGTTAGGACTCATGCAAGCATAGTATTTCTTGGAAACTGGGTTGAAAAGCTACAGGGAGCATTCAAGCTCTTTTCCAGCTTCTTAATCCAGGATGCAATCCTCTTTTACTTTGTTGTGGGAACTCCTGGGTTTATTTGTTTAAGTATGTTTTTGAGAAAGAGCGTAAGAACAACATAGTGACATCAGTCAAAATTATTTTAGCTCCTCAAAGAGTTGTGCGTTCAAAAAAAAATTCCGTTGTGTTGTAAAACTTCACCGTCTGTCAAAATTTTCTGTACACATTTCGAGGTAGAAAATAAGGAAAATTTTGTTGACTAAAGTTGCACGCAACATCACATCAAAGTTGAAAATTGTGTGCTTTTTTTAAATCAAAGTTTGTGATCTGTGATGCAAATGTCTGTGTTACACGTACTCCTTGACTTATGGCCAGTCACTTAATGAGTATAGAAAGTTACAACAGCCAGTGCCAATATTTAGGAATACTTTGAATCAGAATCAAATTAGAATCAGAATTGAGCTGGAAGGGACCTTGGAGGTCTTCTAGTCCAGCCCCCTGCTCAAACAGGAGTTCTAATAATAGACCTGGGTATTTTTTGTTTTCTGGGCCACATCTGGCCCTTTGGCTGACCCTATCCAGCCGGCGAGAGATCAATTGGAAATTAGAAATCAAATGTAAATAGGCGTACACACCATGCATGCAACACAACGGTGTTTTATTTTGAAGGGGACTTTTTCCCTCCTCCTATTTTTCCCTCCACAAGAGATCCACTTTTTCATGAGGCCCCTCGGGAAAATTAATTGCCAATCCTTGGTCCATAACCAGGGTCTCCAAACTTGGCAACTTTTAAGATCTGTGGACTTCAACTTCCAGAATTCCCCAGCCAGCTACTGAAGTCCAGAATTGAAGTCCAGAAGTTTTAAAAGTCGCCAAGTTTGGAGAGGCCTGGTCTGTTAGCTTAGGCATGCCAGCCTCAACTCTTGTTGGAGGGAAGTGGCTTGTGTTGTTGTGCGTGCACTGGTCACATCCCAGTTGAGTTGTGGATTGCGTACCTTGTGTGAAATCTCCGCTATGTATAGTGTTCATGTCGTCCGTCTGGTTCTGATTTGGGTTCGTTTATTGAAACGTTCTTTGGATCTTCTGTGGTCCATGGTGTCCTCCGAGTTTCCTCAGGGTTTTTTCCCTTCCTTGCTTTTGCAGCTCCTCTCCACCAAGTTGCCCTACTGCCGGGAAAACGTGTGCCTGGCCTATGGTCAGGAGTGGTCGGTGTACGCCGTCGGCTCTCAGGCCCACGTCTCTCTCCTGGACCCCCGACAGCCGTCCCACAAGGTCAAGTCTGTCTGCTCCAGAGAGCGAGGAAGCGGTAAGGATGCCTTCCCTGGGACAGTCTGGCGTGGTGTGAAAAATGTGTGGAGATCCAGATCTTTTTTTTCTTCAACTCGAAGCCCTGAAGGTGTTTAGGGATCTTCCTTCCTTCCTTCCTTCCTTCCTTCCTTCCTTCCTTCCTTCCTTCCTTCCTTCCTTTCCTCTTTCTCCATTTCTTTCTTTTTCTTTCTTTCTCTTTCTTTCCTTATTTCCCTCCCTTTCTCCCTCCCTTTCTTTCTTTCCCTTTCCTTCCCATCTACTTTCTCACGCCCTCCCTCCATTTCTTTCTTTCTCTCTCTTTCCTTCTTACCTTCCCTCCCTCTTTCTCCATTTCTCCCTCAATTTCTCTTCCTTCCTTTCCTCCCATCCTTCCCTCCCTCCCTCTTCCTTCCTTCCATTTTGTTTCTCTTTCTCTCTTTCTTTTCCTTCCTTCCTTCCTTCCTTCCTTCCTTCCTTCCTTCCTTCCTTCCTTCCTTCCTTCCTTC